CGCCAGAATCAATGGGGAGCCGGTCGGCCGAGCGGACAGCACACTGGACTTGTGATCCTGTGGTCCCGGGTTCGATTCCGGGCGCCGGCGAGAAACAGTGGGCAGAGTTTCTTTCACCCTATGTCCCTGTTACCTACCAGTAAAATAGGTACCTGGGTGTTAGTCAGCTGTCACGGACTGCTTCCTGAGGGTGCAGGCCTGGTCGAGGACCGGGCCGCGGGGACTCTAAAGCCCCGAAATCATCTCAAGATAACCAATATAATTATAAATTCCCTTTAGAGAGTTAATGTTTCAACTTTTCCAAATGAAGAACAACATAAGAAATGAAGAAAATATTCCTACTAGAATCATTGATTTATTACAAAATGATGCTATGGGCACCATCCTTTGTTCTCGAACTACAGAATTGCTACCATAAGAAAGGAACGAAGATTACCCTCTATTTATGAGAGAATAGTTCTGCTTAATACAATTATTGATTTTTGTTTTTTCCCAATATTTTTAAAAATAATTGTCTCCCGTCATTATCGAAGTTAAACTGAGGTACCCTCTGAACAACTCCGACTGTGCCATCTATCATAAATAAAATCCATTTAGTGTGTGGCTTAGTTATTGTGCCAATAATTTTATGACACTAAATGTCTCATAATTCTGATACAATTTTTAACTATATTTCCCTTGAACAGGAGTACAAGTATATTATACAACCAACAATGTAAACCAAATGAATAATACTGAGGCTGTATTTATGCTATATTTAGACTATAATACTGAAACCGTAATACTGAATAATACTGAAGCTCTATTAACAGTCCTCTTTGCGTAGTGGTAAGACGCTCGCCTGGCGTTTCGCAAGCGCTTTGGCCTGGGTTCGTATCCTGGACGGGAAAGGATTTACTGGGCGCCAAGCCTTAACTGTAGCCTCTATTTACCCAACAGTAAAATGGGTACCTGGTTGTTAAACGATTTGGCGGGTCGTATTCCGGGGAATATTAGGATTAAGGACCTGCCCGAAACGCTATGCGTGCTAGTGGCTGTACAAGAATGTAAGAACTCTTGTATATATATATATAAATAAAAAATAGATAAATAAGAAAAACTATGAGATGCAGAATACCGGTTATACAGTCGGGTTCGTTCTCGACTCATAATCAAGAATTCCGGGCGCGGCAGAAATGGTTGGGCATATTTCCTTTCGCCTAATGTCTCTGTTCACCTAGTAGTGAGTAGGTACTCAGGAGTTAGCTTGTGGAATTGCATTCTGGGCGGGGTCAGTAATTCGACCTGAGGAAGAAGGGAGAGGGGGGATAATACTTTTGTTTTTACCCAAACGCAATTTTGATATGCTCCCCTTGGTTGAATATGACATTATACTTCTTAAAGTATACTAGTATATTTCCCTTTAGGATTTGCTAGTATATTTCCCTTCAGGATTTGCTAGTATCTTTCCCTTCAGAATTTGCTTCAGAAACAACATTTACAAACTGAATGTAATTTAAATAAGAAAATTCGGAAAATTATGACCTTGTAACAATATATGATCTAGTAAGTATTAAACTGTATCACATATCCCTATGACTAAACGCTGGACCCTGAAAAATCATTCATCGCATTACAATACAATTTGCAACTCGTAACGCATTACAATTGAATTATTTTGTAAACACATTGTTGTTTATATCAAATATGAGCAGTTTACCTTTAATGATATAAGAAAACGTAAGGCTAAGCAACAACCATAGAAAACGACTGCATACATCTGTGAGTGTATAACTACTTAAAACTTTTTGATCATCTGCTCTGACATTGTATTGTTGAATTTGTGCACCATTCTCCATTTCCTTCGCTCACATTAGAGAACTGATTCGATATCTTGGTATCTGGTCGTATCGTATTAGAAGATATATAAATGAAAACGTAAATTTTGCCTGAAAGGAAGTTTGTAATCAAGAGGTTAGGTTAGTTCAATTATTACGCATCCGAAACCCTTCCTATGAGTGGTAGAGGAAAAGATTACAGAAAGACGTGATTGGCTCAGGGAATGAAGCATAAGGGGTTCAAGAACTGGACTACAACTGTGTGTAGTCTAAACATGTTTCATGTTTTGATGGGCTAGTTACATATACTTTCAATCAAGCATCCCACGCCTCTCCAGTGGGCGGAGCGAAGTTGATGAGTAAAAATAAATAAAAATAAATGTTTATTCAGGTAAAGTACATACATACAAGAGGTTTTCCAAAAATTAATAGATTTATAGATAGAGCTAGTACATACAATGCCTAAAGCCACTATTACGCAAAGCGTTTCGGGCATAGTGATGAGTTAAACAACCACATGCCTGCATTTGAGATTCTTGAATGACGAACACATTTTTGAACATTTGTCATGAAATTATCTCTCAATTCCAATTTCCTTCACGTTCAATTAGAAAGAACCGAAGAGTAGGAGTTAGCTTCTTCTGGCAGAATGTACATTTCGTCTGCTTTGCATCAGCAGGTGGTGCAAGCGTCCTCAGATACTTGTAGCAGAGTCTCAAGCCTAGCAGTAATAACGTTTAAAAGTCTGCTGACTTTATTGGAGGACTCACAGATATGTGGCTCTTCCTGCTTAATAGTATGCTAATGGATATATATATATATTGTCATGTCATGGGTTCGTATCCTGGCCGGGGAGGATTTACTGGGCGCAAATCCTTAACTGTAGCCTCTGTTTAACTCAACAGTAAAATGGGTACTTGGTTGTAACAACGATTCTTCGCGGCGGGGATCGTATTCCAGGGACCTGCCCGAAACGCTACGCGTACTAGTGGCTGTACAAGAATGTAACAACTCTTGTATATATATCTCAAAAAAAAAAATTAGAGTGTCTTTGAACTGTTTCTGATATGCTCAAATACGCAGCAGTTCTCGGTAAATCACTGCCCTTAGTTTGCTCAAAGGCAAGCCCAGGTGGTAATAAATTCCCTTTTTTAGGAGTACAGGCTTTGGCTTACTAATCAGCCAACTCAGGCAGTTACAGCCCCGCTCCTGTGCCAGGTAAGTACACTGCGGGCTCACCATAGCCCGTGCTACTTGCCGCTCCTGTGCCAGGTAAGTACACTGCGGGCTCACCATAGCCCGTGCTACTTGCCGCTCCTGTGCCAGGTAAGTACACTGCGGGCTCACCATAGCCCGTGCTACTTGCCCCGCTCCTGTGCCAGGTAAGTACACTGCGGGCTCACCATAGCCCGTGCTACTTGCCGCTCCTGTGCCAGGTAAGTACACTGCGGGCTCACCATAGCCCGTGCTACTTACCCCGCTCCTGTGCCAGGTAAGTACACTGCGGGCTCACCATAGCCCGTGCTACTTGCCCCGCTCCTGTGCCAGGTAAGTACACTGCGGGCTCACCATACCCCGTGCTACTTGCCCCGCTCCTGTGCCAGGTAAGTACACTGCGGGCTCACCATAGCCCGTGCTACTTGCCGCTCCTGTGCCAGGTAAGTACACTGCGGGCTCACCATAGCCCGTGCTACTTGCCGCTCCTGTGCCAGGTAAGTACACTGCGGGCTCACCATAGCCCGTGCTACTTGCCGCTCCTGTGCCAGGTAAGTACACTGCGGGCTCACCATAGCACCTGCTACTTGCCGCTCCTGTGCCAGGTAAGTACACTGCGGGCTCACCATAGCCCGTGCTACTTGCCGCTCCTGTGCCTGGTAAGTACACTGCGGGCTCACCATAGCCCATGCTACTTGCCGCTCCTGTGCCAGGTAAGTACACTGCGGGCTCACCATAGCCCGTGCTACTTGCCGCTCCTGTGCCAGGTAAGTCCACTACGGGTTCACCATAGCCCGTGCTACTTTCCCCGCTCCTGTGCCAGGTAAGTACACTGCGGGCTCACCATAACCCGTGCTACTTTCCCCGCTCCTGTGCCAGGTAAGTACACTGCGGGCTCACCATAACCCGTGCTACTTGCAACTTTTTGTTCGGAGTAGCTGAATCTACAACAAGAGCCCACTCATACTCTCGAAGCATGTTGTTGTTGTTAAAGATTTAGCTACTCAGGACGAAGTGTCCATGTAGCACGGGCTATGGTTATCTTGAGATGATTTCGGGGCTTTTTAGTGTCCCCGCGGCCCGGTCCTCGACCAGGCCTCCACCTCCAGGAAGCAGCCCGTGACAGCTGACTAACACCCAGGTACCTATTTTACTGCTAGGTAACAGGAGCATAGGGTGAAAGAAACTCTGCCCACGGCGCCTTGGATCGAACCCAGGATCACATGTCCGCTCGGCCGACCGGCTCCCTGGTGAACCCGTAATTGAGTTTGGTTATACATGATAACCTTTTTCCTGTGATAAGAACTCTCGGAGCAGCCCGTCCCTCCTTATGTTTCCCAACGTCAAGAAACTGTTGTACTTAAGTGCCCCTTATTCTAACCTAACAGAGGACCCAAAATAGAAAACGGGACAGTATGTCAATTTCGCGAGCCGCTTCCATTTTCAAGTACGACAATTTTGACTCCTATTGGCAGCTCCTATTGGTCCATACGAGGCAGCTGCTATTGGTCCATACGAGGCAGCTTCTATTGGCCCATACGAGGCAACTTCTATTGGCCCATACGAGGCAACTTCTATTGGCCCATACGCGGCAGCTCCTATTGGTCCGTACGAGGCAGCTCCTATTGGTCCATACGAAGCAGCACCTATTGGCCCATATGAGGTAGCTCCTATTGGCATATGCAGGGCAGCTCCTATTGGTTTATACATGGCATCTCCTATTGGCCCATATGAGGGTACATTTATTTCCACCCAAACTTAATCATATATATTTCTCTAACCAGCGCTTGAAACAATCTAGCAGTCTCACATAAAAATTCTCCAAGATTCAAGTATTGCAGAATGACCTGATGTGTGTGTGTGGGGAAAAATTATTTATATACCTTAAATGGAGATGTCTAGAACTGGTTCATCTGATACAGTTTTTGAAGGATTGTGATTTATTGATGTTGGAACAAAAACTAAATATAATACATATGTGGAACTGTATTTTAAGCACTCGTTGTACATATTAAGGTATTGGTGAATTTACATAGTAGAAATTGAAATTGAAATAAGTTTATTGAGATAAAATACACACAAAGGGATAAGGTAGCTCAAGCTATTCTCACCCCGTTCAGTACATCGTGTTAATACATACATATACACACATCACAAACAATAAACATATTACCAAACATTCTGAGAGATAAACATATACATTTCCTCCTTTACACAAGTATACATAGTAGACGATCATGTTTAAGAGCCATTTGAGGCCGCCTGAGTCACCACCAGCCCGTCCTCCTAATGTTCCCCCAACGTCAAGAAACTGTCGTACTAACGTGCCCTTATCCTATCCTACCAGAGGACCCAAAACAGAAAACGGGACAGTATGTCAATTTCACGAGCTGCTATCATTTTATAGTACGACAATCTGTGACTTAGGTAGACTATACGTCAAACTGCGACGTTCTATTAGGAGGACGGGTTGGCGTCACAGTGGGAGACGTATGGAGAACTTACAATGTTAACTACAATCAACATTTGTCTTTATTTATACAAACAAATAAGAAAATAAGGTGGCACGTGATCTCTCTCTGAAGGAAACAAAACAACAAGAATAAACAGTATTTAGAAGCACATAACACATCAAAATTAAACAAGTAAAACATGTTCTTTCATACACAGGAAATAACAAAGATAAAAAAATACAGATTAATACAATAAACACATTTCTTAAGTATTGTTTTCTCCTTGACAAGTGACCAACAGAGAACTAAATAGTCACGAGAAGACACAAAGCCAGCAAGGTTATATAGACGTGAAAAAGGATAGGCAGCCAAGGAGCTGGGATGTGAGGTTTGGGGTTAGGGAACGCTACCCAATCCCTTGGACCAGCGGTGCATCTAGCCCCGACCATGAAATATGCAAGGCCACCGATGTACCCATAGTCCAAGTATGGTTAGACAGGAGCATTATAATGAACATGCAAATTTCTTTTTAGCAAAGGTGGAAAGCACCTTTAACATTATATAGATAATACAGACAATTAGTCTTTATGACAGCGTCTTAATTTCAATACAACAAGAGATTCAGAAAAGCAGCGTTGTATTTAATATGAAGGGTTATTACTCTCTCCCCCTCCCCCTCCCCCTCACACACCTCCAACAACCACACCTTCCTTGGTTATCTTGAGATGTCTTCGGGGTTTAGCGTCCCCGCGGCCCAGTCCTCGACCAGGCCTCCTTTTTTGTTACACACCCCTAGGAAGCAGCCCGTAGCAGCTGTCTAACTTCCAGGTACCTATTTAATGATAGAGAGAGAGATGTCCCCATACTTACCTTAACCATCCCAATTGAACATTAGAGAACATCCTGTATCATTGAACTGTTCCAGGATTTAATATTCTGTATCGTACACAGAAAAATCCCATTAACGTGATATATCAATGAACAAATCCACAGGAGCCGTGATGCCGATTCGAACCTATGGGCTGGGTGTTACCAGGCACCCAGCGCATAGGTTCGAACTCTCATCACGGCTCCTGTGGATTTGTATACTGTATCGTGTTAGAACTCTACGGTATTGTGGAGTTAGTTACACCTTAAATACTGTTCATGATAACATTCTCGAGTGATTACAGTCGTTGGAGTAACTGCCAAACCAGGTTCAGTGCTGTATACATATTTCTCTGTTACCTCTATTTATCTGGAGTTTCTTGTATTGCTTGTGCAATCGACCGAGTTCCTTGTATAACTCCTATGACTGACTGATCTGTATAGATCTGAGACTGATGACCAGACCACACACTAGAATGTGAAAGGACGACGACGTTTCGGTCCGTCCTGGACCATTCTCAAGTCGATCTGAGACTGTATAATCGATTAAGCTGCTAGTATGACTCCTATGATCGTTCGAGCTTCTAGTAAGAACAAATAGCCAGGATGGAGTAAATAGTTGAGAAAATTAAGTGGAAAACTGTCTACTAAACGGGAAACAGAGAAACAGTAGGAGAGAATAAAAGGGGGAATATAATTTGTGAAATCTTCAAGTTCCTGTTTTAGGACTTGTGTTATTTCTGTTACGTGTTCCTAGTTACTGTTCCTAGTAACAGTTCATTTCAGATGTTCTCAACAGCTGTTCCTAGTACCTATTCATGTTAGTTGTTTCTAATCGCTATTCCAATTAACTACTCCTTGAGAACGTTGAATTTAACGCTGAATCAGAGTTGAGAACGTTGAATTTAACGCTGAATCAGTGTTGATAACGTTGAATTTAACGCTGAATCAGTGTTGATAATGTTGAAATTAACGCTGAATCAACTTTGAATTTAACGCTGAATCAGTGTTGAGAACGTTGAATTTAACGCTGAATCAGTGTTGATAATGTTGAATTTAACACTGAATCAACTTTAAATTTAACGCTGAATCAACTTTGAATTTAACGCTGAATCAGTGTTGATAACGTTGAATTTAACGTTCAATCAACGTTACTCTTGTACTTTGTTCCATTGTGAGGGAGTTCAGGAGGTATATTTACCCATTTACCGAGCACAAGACCATTCACGTTTCCATGATCACATATGTCAGTAACTGTTAACGAAGTTAAAGCATGCCACAAACACCTAAAAAATATCGTTTTGGTGTTTAACATCTTCAGTTCATCTTTAGCCTTAAACGCTATACACAAACACACACACATACACACTTTATCTTTTTTCTAATAGCACTGTGGTGGGTTACAATAGGATTAAGATCGCAACTAGAAGACAACCTACAAGGGTTATAACTCCCAGCGGAGTCGTCAGTGGATGTCCGGAAGATACTTCGGTCTCCAGCATCTCAATGTCCGGTTGAAAAATGTTCTTGTCCGTGGGGTACGTAGCCTGCTTCTGGGGTGAGTGTTCGTTGTTCTTGACAGTGTTGGTTACGAGTAGTTCTTTAGTTAAAGTTATATCTTTCATGGTTGGGAGGTTTGGGAGTACGTCAGTGGAGTAAATGCTGTTTGATGAGGGTTTTCTGTTTTCATTGGTGTGAGGCGCAGCGGTTGTTGGTGTTTGACGTGAGGAATACTTGAAGTTTAATGTGGAACTTTTCTCATCTGATGACATGCCATTTGTTGTGGAACTTTCGCCAACGGAAGATGCGCTGTATGATATGAAACTTTCATCAACGGAAGATGTGCCACTTGATGTCAAATTTTCACCAATGAAAGAGGCAAAGTTTGATTTGAAACTTTCACCAACTGAAAACGTGTCGTTTATTGTGGAATTTTCGCTAATGGTTGTAGGACTTCTTAATGTGAAACTTTCCTTGATGACTGAAACATCGTTTGATGGAACATACTTTTGCTCTGAACTAAGAGAAGACGCAATACCAGATGGAAGAGGTCGTTTCTCTTTGCCAGGAAGATACTCATCGAAAGGAAAATGATGCTTATGCGAGTCATGGAATGATACTTCACTTGACTGAGAATGTTTTTTGTATTCATCAACGGGTAATTTGTCGTTTGTGTCAGAAGCCTCTTCATCACAGGAACAGTCGTCGTCGTCCGAAGATTGCTCGTTCGATTCTTCGGACGAAACTTCGATTGATTGATTGATTGAAACTTCGGTCGTTTCGGAATGGTCTCCGGGCTGATCAAGGGTTGATGAAGCAGCAAAGGAATTATTATTTTGGTCAACTGAGGGCATGTCGCTCGAGGAAGAAATATTTTGGTCTTCTTCAGTGGAAGGCAAAGCAACTGAAGACAACGATCTTCGACTTTCACCAACATGGGTCACGTTATTTGTGAGAGACGTTCCTCGCCTACTGATGGGGAAAGCAATATCATGGAAATTGATTTTTTTCCTCTCAACCGTTCTGGACACGTCGTTTGAGGACGGAGGATATCTGTAACTATCCTCAATTGCTTTTCTATCGACGGTAAAAGGAATTTTTGTGCCTTCCTCTACGCCCAGGACTGAGACGGGAGCAGTAAACCCCGGGTCCTTCACGATAATATACTGTGGTAAACGTTTCTTTGTTGAGTTCCCAGACGAGCTATAATTAGATCCTAACCCATTGACTTGATCCTTAGATGGGGGGTAAGGCGAGGAGTCAACGTCTTCATAGTAAGCTACCAGAGTACCGGAATCAACAGGTTTCACGTAGATTGACGCCAGAACGGTTTGGTCGTCTGGTATAGCTTTTGTTTCGTTGCTGTCTAAAGCTGTAGACTTATTAGTTGCAATTATTTCATTGAAGCTTTGATCACGGCCAAAGTACACCTGTCTATTATAAATATTGTCTTCGTCTACACTTCGTTCATGGACTGAGGTGATTTTCTCGCTTGAGGTAACTAATGCTGCTTCTGTATTCCTTTCGTCATCCAAATTATATTCGTCTGAAACATTGCCATCGGCCCTATGTGGTAAAATGTTCTTTATAATAATGCGACTGAATTTTTCACGAATATCGTCAAAGTTTTTATCTGACAAATTACGTCCAAATTGAGATAATATTTCGTCACTCACAAGCGTTCTTGGCTGCCTGACCATATTTTGAAAACGACCATGAAGAGTTTTGTAAAAATGTTCTCTAGGGTCATGCACTCTGTAGCCATCATTAAAATTGAAATGTAGGTAAGGAAATCGCCTTGAGACGTCGAGTGGGAAGTGATTAGGCGCAAACATCGGCACAAAAGGTGGTCGAACGTCGGGAAGATTGGGACGTAAGGAAGGCGATTGGCGAGGTAGAGTCGGGCGCTGCACGTGTGATATACCATGTAAGTCTACATTCCGATAATCCTTCTCACCGCCTTTAACAGTGAATGATGCCGAGACGACCTGTCTAGTAGGGGAATTGACGACGGGGAACGCCTTCCCAACCCACAGTCCATCCTCTGTATTGCGTGATGTTATTCTTGCACTGATAAAGTTTCCAGTGTGGGTGTCCAAGGAGCGAGAGGATCTTCCTGAGCCTCCACCAAAAGATATCGGCTCACTAACATCTGTGCTATAACCCCAAGTTGCCTTGCCAGGAAAGACGACAATGGGGTTCGGTCTAGCAACGACCAAGTTGCTCCACGACCCACAGAGCACCAAACATAGAAGCGTCTGAAAAGAAGACATTAAAATATCACCTCAGATAATCGTCTGTGAGAATATGAAAGTCACTACATTAATGGAAATATCCTAAATCCGAAATATTTTTATAACACACATTTGTGCTTAATTAAGGGTCTTTTAAATTTATATACGTCATTGTTTCATTAATAATGTTGCATTATCTCTCGTGCTCTTCAAAAATTAAGAGAAAGCAATGATTTTTTGGTATTTTATCTGATGATTAAAAAAGAGTGAACTCAATATAAATTGAATAATTTCAGGCAGGTATTAATGTGGTGTTTATATTAATGTGATGTTTAAAGGTGTCCATACCTGCAGGCCAGCCAGGTGTGGCTGGAGGTGTGGAGCACTCATCCCTGCTTCACCGTCTACCGTCACCAGCAAGTCTGTTGGAAGTTAAATGTATAAATAATTGAATACATAAATAGTAAATATGATTGTAAATATGTGTTCACCTATAATGTTCTCGTTGAGGGAACTTGACATTAGACATTCGGCCGTTACAAAGGCTCGTAAACTGCTTTGTTTTCTTCATTCCAATTCTTGAAAGCATGTATGGATGGAAGGAAGAAACTATCAGGGGAAAGCACCAAGCCATTATGACTATATAGCACTGAGAAAGGATCAGGATGAGGATTTGGGATGGAACGAGAAACTCCTCCACTTGTTCAATCTTTAGGAGCCTGACGGCTGAGTGGACAGCGCTCGGGATCAATCTTGAGGTTATCTTGAGATGATTTCGGTTTTTTTTTTTTTTTTAGTGTCCCCGCGGCCCGGTCCTCGACCAGGCCTCCACCCCCAGGAAGCAGCCCGTGACAGCTGACTAACACCCAGGTACCTATTTTACTGCTAGGTAACAGGGGCATAGGGTGAAAGAAACTCTGCCCATTGTTTCTCGCCGGCGCCTGGGATCGAACCCTGGACCACAGGATCACAAATCCAGCGTGCTGTCCGCTCGGCCGACCGGCTCCCCTGGATTCATGAGTCCTAAGGTTCCGGGTTCGATCCCCGGCGGAGGTGGAAACAAATGGGCAGAGTTTCTATCATCATGATGCCCTATTTCACCTGGTAGTAAGTAGGTACCTGGGAGTTAGACAACTGCTATGGGCTGCTTCCTTGGACGGGGGGGGGGGAGGGAGGGGGTAACAAAAAGTAGGCCTGGTCGAGGACCGGGCCGCGGGGACGCTAAGCCCCAAAATCATCTCAAGATCTCAAGATAACCAGTCCTCTAAGATCAGACAGCAATTCCACATTTGGGCTAAATAATCCAGAACTGGTCTAATATAAGGTACAACATCCTGAAAGCTCCCTTGACCAAGTACCTAAACACTACACAAACATTTTCTAGTTTTGCAATCGCTGCTGATATTATCTTGTTAATGTTTACTCACCATCTTTTTTGACTCTCTGTGACCTCTCCCTCGTTCAAAATCTCATACACTCGCAATTACTTGAAATAAATTCGAGAAGCCATCAGACCATCACAATAGTTTTCAAGGTTGACCTGCAGCGTTCTCAGATTTTCCAATGTTTGTATTTGTCTCGCAAGTTTTATATAGTTGGTACACATTTAAGGAGACTACTACTCTGTTATTCATGTCATTGACGTACTAGAAGCGGTACTTCACCCAAGGGCTTTTATCCCTTTGGTTCCTTTTCTTCCCTTCATTCTCATTTGTTTTCAATCACTCCTCTTGCTACTTCTTAGATATCTGTTTGGATAGAAGTTAGATAGCTCAGTTCATCTCTCTTCCAGCTTCTCAAGCTTGAGTTAGAGCCTTCTGTGTGGAACTCTCTTGAATGCTCTCTAGCAGTATCAAAAGATAAAGGCAGTCCCTCCCTCTCTTCATTGTGTTATCACTGACATTATGTTATACAATTATTTCAGGTGTAAGACAAGACATTACTTTCATGAATCCATACCGAACCTTTGTCACAAAATGTGTTCCTTCTACAACTTCCACTAGTTATCTTCTGCTTAATTTATCTAGCACCGTACAGGGAATTAATATAAATTTGTATCAGATTTACTATATACGATCGATTTTGGTCTTGATCCTTAATCCTGTTTGCTCACCTCATCGGCTGTGATTTCTATGTTTTTAAGTCTGTTAACCAGAAATCGATTTGCGATTTCATGACCAAAGAGCTTGGCAAAGGGCGGGTTAGGTTTATGGATGAGGAGTCGAAATCCTAGATGAGGATGTGGATGGGGTACAAGAAAGTTTGAAAATTCGGTGGTGTGTCTACTTTGAAAATTCGGTGGAGTGTCCACCTTGAAAATTCGGTGGTATGTCCACCTTGAAAATTCGGTGGCGTGTCAACCTTGAAAATTCGGTGGTGTGTCCACTTTGACAATTCGGTGGCGTGTCCACTTTGAAAATTCGGTGGTGTGTCCACTTTGAAAATTCGGTGGTGTGTCCACCTTGAATATTCGGTGGCGTTGGATATTGGTTGGACACCAGAATCATCTTTTCTCTTCCTCTTGAAGTTGCTGAGGAAGTTTGAACACTTCCTCGAAGATTTCATTTAGTACATCGTTTATCTTCTCTTAATATTTTTTTTTCGATTGTTTCCTCTCCAATCTGATCAAATTTCGATTTGTGAAAATTATTGGAGCAAGACGGGGCTCGAACCAGCGTCATGGATTATCCCAGACATGCGCCTTAACCTACTGGGCGACGATATGGTTTAAGTAATCTTCGTCCTGTTGCAATGATTTTCGAAAATATATATCACGCTATAGGTTAGCGTGATAATGTAAATGTCTACTGTAAATGTCTTAGAATAATTCCTATTTCATTCAAAGACAGTGAAAGAGGGTTTGTTTTCACATCTGTTTTTCCGCCGGCTGCGGGGATCGAACTCCGGTCCCTAGGTCCATGAGTTTAGAGCGCTGTCCACTCAGCCAGCCAGCCCACATACATATATATGTATATGTGTGTGTCTGTAAATGTATGTATGTATGTGTATAAAATATATGTGGAAGCTGGGCAGAATTATATTTCACCTTTGTAAATGCACATTAATGACACTATGTAAAAGACACATCGAACACTATGTAAGGCAGACGTAACTCTTTGTATCTATGTATTTATGTCTGTATGTTAGATAAGCATTTTAAAAGCACTACAATCACCTTCTGTGGTTGATTGTTCAATAAATCCCTGAACTATATGTTTACCAGGTCTCTCACCCTGTCCATGGAGGACAGAAGAAAATGTATATATGCTGGTTAGTATTGTGTGGCCACATCTGTGGTAGAAAATAATAATAATAAAAAAATCTCTCCTTCCTACTTATCTGTATACACTTTCTTCTACACGTTGTATACAACACATTGAGAAAAGATGTAGGTTACATCTGAAAATTTTGATTTTTAATACACTTACACATAAGTGTAAGTCCGGGAAGCGGAGGAGCTTCAAGAGATCCATAACCTTTAGGCATTTTTTGTATCAACCAATGTATGTCTTGTAACCTTTAAATACACAACAAACTTACACATGTATATTGGGTCCTTCCTTCACCTTCATTCAAGCACTACGCAATGTAGTAAGTTCCTCTTTAATAATATTAATAATAATGAAGAAAATCAATAGCAGTCGTAAGTGAGATTTGATCCTATTAGTACTCCCAGGCAGCTCTTTTTCTTATTGATACTTCACGCTAATGAGATTTTTTGGAGTATTTGAAAGAAGCGTTTGAGGTAGATTTTCCAGACCACAAGCCAGAGAGCATGGGGAGGGGGGGTTTGGCATTGTGAAAAGCCCTGGTTAGGCTTCAGTGGAATCCTCGGGAACCATAGAGGATGCAGTTGAATCTCAGGATGCCATGGTATTTGACCACGTCGTGGTGTAGTGCAGGCGAGGAGTCACAATAACGTGGCTAAAGTATGTGGACCAGACCACACACTAGAAGGTGAAGGAACGACGACGTTTCGGTCCGTCCTGGATCATTCTCAAGTCGATTCGTGGTGTAGTGGTCTAAGGCGTTGCTTGGGAGTTCCCAGATGCAGACGATGAGTCACAATAACGTGGCTGAAGATATGATGATCAAAACATACATCAGAAAGTGCAGAAACGTCGACGTTTCGGTCCGTCCTGGACCATTATCAAGCCGTTCTATACCCAAAGCATAGATTCGAATCCTTCTCATAGCTCCTACTGTATTCTCAATACAAATAATAATAGTAATAATATATGTGTGTGTTTTGTGTAGGGGTGACCTCTCTTGGCCCCTGAAGGATTCAAACCCGGTCAGTCTGGGCTTCCATGCCCCGTGGCATGTCCAGTACTATAACCACTCAGCCACAGACTGAACGAAAGTATTGGGAGGTCGTCTGACCTATAACTCTAATACCCGACAGCGCTCGTGACTATGTTGGGCACAGATATTTTATCATATCACTTTCAACATTCTGGGGCCATATGAGTATCAGTTGTGGCGTGAAGATATTTATTATGCATGTTGGCTTGCAGACCATTCAAACTTGACGCACACACACACACACACACACACACACACACACACACACACACACACACACACACACACACACACACACACACACACACACACACACACACACACACATATATATTTATTTATATATATATATATATATATATATATATATATATATATATATATATATATATATATATATATATATATATGTGTGTGTGTGTGTGTGTATCTGGAAAAACCACAGTGAAATGGGAAAGTATATGAAAAAATAGAGGTTTTGTCGTCTCGCCTATACTGGTATATTGAGATCATTGGAGCTGGACATTTAGCAGCACAGACGACAATCACTCATTTCAAGGCATTTTGTTTGCTTGAGATTTCTCCATTTCATATTCAGTAACACGTATTTACATCTGTATAACTATATTATTAAATGAATCGTAAAATTTCTTACTATAAAGTGAATTTCCAGTATATCTTAGTACTTATCTCAAAATTATATTTGTTTATATTATGAAGATACATATTGTCCTTCCTGTCCTACCACCAACAAGAGAGTCGACTCACCTGCACATGACTGACACAACGAGTAACCAGCGAAGGACCTACACCGCAGCTTCCACCCAATACGACTGAGTATTTTCCTCCAGCAGTTCCAAACGGAGGCGTCTGAGCCGCAGCTTCCAGGAGGCCCATTAGCTCGGCCAGCGTGCGTGTAAGACTGGAATTGGTGGGTTCAGTCCAGCATATGAGCAGCATGTGTGTGTGTGAGCGTGCGGAGGGAAGTGCCGTCATGGACTCCTGCTACAGGAAGGAATTCTGTAAAGTCTTCTTGAGCTCCGGGTTTACGGTTGAGCTCTAAAGGGATTTTTTGGGGGGTTCAGGGTATTTAGAGGAGGTCTTATAACGCTTTATTGAGCTCCAAATCCAGAGTTGAGGTTTCTAGAGATCCTCTTGATCAAGATAAAGTTGTCAGAGAGATGTTAGGACCAGGAGAATTATGTTGGTATTTATTATGAGGAATTTTCTCCTGATAAACGCCATCAATGTTCCAACTTCAAAGTATTTTTCTCATAATTTCTCACGCAGACGAGGAGCAAGTCACACCAGTGAAAGTTTGCAGGGCATTTTGCCGTTCAGAATAGATTTCAACAATGGTTGCAGGACTAAACTTAGTTTCTACGTACGTGCGACGTAGAGTTCAAGTGCGCAACTTTGTGTTTGAGTGCATAACTTAGTATACATGTTTGTGATGTAGTGTTCCTGGGGCTTAACGAGGTGCTGGTGAAGATAAGGATAGTTTTCTTATCTCTCGATGTTCGCCGATGATGTAGATATTAATGGAAAGATAAATGAACGAAATGACACACTGGTGCAGTAAATTGTCACTAGACTTTATCTCGAGCATAATAAAAGTATATATATATATATATATATATATATATATATATATATATATATATATATATATATATATATATATATATATATATATATATATATATATATATATATATATATATATATATGTTGTACCTAGTAGCCAGAACGTCGTGCTCGGCCTACTATGCAAGGCCCGATTTGCCTAATAAGCCAAGTTTTCTTGAATTAATATATTTTCTCAAATTTTTTTCTTTGAAATGATAAAGCTACCCATTTCATTATGTATGAGGAATTTTTTTTTATTGGAGTTAAAATTAACGTAGATATATGACCGAACCTAACCAACCCTACCTAACCTAACCTAACCTATCTTTATAGGTTAGGTTAGGTTAGGTAGCCGAAAAAGTTAGGTTAGGTTAGGTTAGGTAGTCTTAAAACAATTAATTCATGAAAACTTGGCTTATTAGGCAAATCGGGCCTTGCATAGTAGGCTGAGAAGTGCATTCTGGCTACTAGGTACGACATATATATATATATATATATATATATATATATATATATATATATATATATATATATATATATATATATATATATATATATATATATATATATATACAATCTTTGGACAACACCTACCAGTGGGACTCGAACCCAGAAAGCACAACTACCTTCCAGTAGCTGGCATAACTAGTATGCTTTAACCCACTACGCCATCAGACCTTACAAAAGAAGTAGATAGTTCGAGATATATATCTCAAACATCTCTACCTCCCGAAGGCACCAGATGAGTGAGGGGTCAGTCTGCATTTTTCGTCAAGCCACTGTCAATGTGAGAGAACTCGTGTCCAGCTTATAAGCCTATACTTGCATAAACCACAAGTGAAGATAAACAATCTTTGGACAACACCCACCAGTGGGACTCGAACCCAGAAAGCACAACTACCTTCCAGTAGCTGGCATAACTAGTATGCTTTAACCCACTATGCCATCAGACCTTACAAAAGAAGTAGATAGTTCGAGATATATATCTCAAACATCTCTACCTCCCGAAGGCACCAGATGAGTGAGGGGTCAGTCTGCATTTTTCGTCAAGCCACTGTCAATGTGAGAGAACTCGTGTCCAGCTTATAAGCCTATACTTGCATAAACCACAAGTGAAGATAAACAATCTTTGGACAACACCCACCAGTGGGACTCGAACCCAGAAAGCACAACTACCTTCCAGTAGCTGGCATAACTAGTATGCTTTAACCCACTACGCCATCAGACCTTACAAAAGAAGTAGATAGTTCGAGATATATATCTCAAACATCTCTACCTCCCGAAGGCACCAGATGAGTGAGGGGTCAGTCTGCATTTTTCGTCAAGCCACTGTCAATGTGAGAGAACTCGTGTCCAGCTTATAAGCCTATACTTGCATAAACCACAAGTGAAGATAAACAATCTTTGGACAACACCCACCAGTGGGACTCGAACCCAGAAAGCACAACTACCTTCCAGTAGCTGGCATAACTAGTATGCTTTAACCCACTACGCCATCAGACCTTACAAAAGAAGTAGATAGTTCGAGATATATATCTCAAACATCTCTACCTCCCGAAGGCACCAGATGAGTGAGGGGTCAGTCTGCATTTTTCGTCAAGCCACTGTCAATGTGAGAGAACTCGTGTCCAGCTTATAAGCCTATACTTGCATAAACCACAAGTGAAGATAAACAATCTTTGGACAACACCCACCAGTGGGACTCGAACCCAGAAAGCACAACTACCTTCCAGTAGCTGGCATAACTAGTATGCTTTAACCCACTATGCCATCAGACCTTACAAAAGAAGTAGATAGTTCGAGATATATATCTCAAACATCTCTACCTCCCGAAGGCACCAGATGAGTGAGGGGTCAGTCTGCATTTTTCGTCAAGCCACTGTCAATGTGAGAGAACTCGTGTCCAGCTTATAAGCCTATACTTGCATAAACCACAAGTGAAGATAAACAATCTTTGGACAACACCCACCAGTGGGACTCGAACCCAGAAAGCACAACTACCTTCCAGTAGCTGGCATAACTAGTATGCTTTAACCCACTACGCCATCAGACCTTACAAAAGAAGTAGATAGTTCGAGATATATATCTCAAACATCTCTACCTCTCGAAGGCACCAGATGAGTGAGGGGTCAGTCTGCATTTTTCGTCAAGCCACTGTCAATGTGAGAGAACTCGTGTCCAGCTTATAAGCCTATACTTGCATAAACCACAAGTGAAGATAAACAATCTTTGGACAACACCCACCAGTGGGACTCGAACCCAGAAAGCACAACTACCTTCCAGTAGCTGGCATAACTAGTATGCTTTAACCCACTACGCCATCAGACCTTACAAAAGAAGTAGATAGTTCGAGATATATATCTCAAACATCTCTACCTCCCGAAGGCACCAGATGAGTGAGGGGTCAGTCTGCATTTTTCGTCAAGCCACTGTCAATGTGAGAGAACTCGTGTCCAGCTTATAAGCCTATACTTGCATAAACCACAAGTGAAGATAAACAATCTTTGGACAACACCCACCAGTGGGACTCGAACCCAGAAAGCACAACTACCTTCCAGTAGCTGGCATAACTAGTATGCTTTAACCCACTACGCCATCAGACCTTACAAAAGAAGTAGATAGTTCGAGATATATATCTCAAACATCTCTACCTCCCGAAGGCACCAGATGAGTGAGGGGTCAGTCTGCATTTTTCGTCAAGCCACTGTCAATGTGAGAGAACTCGTGTCCAGCTTATAAGCCTATACTTGCATAAACCACAAGTGAAGATAAACAATCTTTGGACAACACCCACCAGTGGGACTCGAACCCAGAAAGCACAACTACCTTCCAGTAGCTGGCATAACTAGTATGCTTTAACCCACTATGCCATCAGACCTTACAAAAGAAGTAGATAGTTCGAGATATATATCTCAAACATCTCTACCTCCCGAAGGCACCAGATGAGTGAGGGGTCAGTCTGCATTTTTCGTCAAGCCACTGTCAATGTGAGAGAACTCGTGTCCAGCTTATAAGCCTATACTTGCATAAACCACAAGTGAAGATAAACAATCTTTGGACAACACCCACCAGTGGGACTCGAACCCAGAAAGCACAACTACCTTCCAGTAGCTGGCATAACTAGTATGCTTTAACCCACTACGCCATCAGACCTTACAAAAGAAGTAGATAGTTCGAGATATATATCTCAAACATCTCTACCTCCCGAAGGCACCAGATGAGTGAGGGGTCAGTCTGCATTTTTCGTCAAGCCACTGTCAATGTGAGAGAACTCGTGTCCAGCTTATAAGCCTATACTTGCATAAACCACAAGTGAAGATAAACAATCTTTGGACAACACCCACCAGTGGGACTCGAACCCAGAAAGCACAACTACCTTCCAGTAGCTGGCATAACTAGTATGCTTTAACCCACTACGCCATCAGACCTTACAAAAGAAGTAGATAGTTCGAGATATATATCTCAAACATCTCTACCTCCCGAAGGCACCAGATGAGTGAGGGGTCAGTCTGCATTTTTCGTCAAGCCACTGTCAATGTGAGAGAACTCGTGTCCAGCTTATAAGCCTATACTTGCATAAACCACAAGTGAAAATAAACAATCTTTGGACAACACCCACCAGTGGGACTCGAACCCAGAAAGCACAACTACCTTCCAGTAGCTGGCATAACTAGTATGCTTTAACCCACTATGCCATCAGACCTTACAAAAGAAGTAGATAGTTCGAGATATATATCTCAAACATCTCTACCTCCCGAAGGCACCAGATGAGTGAGGGGTCAGTCTGCATTTTTCGTCAAGCCACTGTCAATGTGAGAGAACTCGTGTCCAGCTTATAAGCCTATACTTGCATAAACCACAAGTGAAGATAAACAATCTTTGGACAACACCCACCAGTGGGACTCGAACCCAGAAAGCACAACTACCTTCCAGTAGCTGGCATAACTAGTATGCTTTAACCCACTACGCCATCAGACCTTACAAAAGAAGTAGATAGTTCGAGATATATATCTCAAACATCTCTACCTCCCGAAGGCACCAGATGAGTGAGGGGTCAGTCTGCATTTTTCGTCAAGCCACTGTCAATGTGAGAGAACTCGTGTCCAGCTTATAAGCCTATACTTGCATAAACCACAAGTGAAGATAAACAATCTTTGGACAACACCCACCAGTGGGACTCGAACCCAGAAAGCACAACTACCTTCCAGTAGCTGGCATAACTAGTATGCTTTAACCCACTACGCCATCAGACC